AAATTGTGATGATCTTTTCACTTCGATCTTAATTTACTTTCAATCTGGTCAATTAATTTGTTAAAATATGTTGAGTTTTACAGGATTACATCCAAGATTCATCAAGATTCATGGAGGTCAAAGCCCTGGGAAGTTGGGTGCAAATAAATAGGGAAATAATATTATCAGACATAGAATTGGAGATTTTAGAGTGACTTACTTAAATCCCCAATTAGGTCCTATCGTTTGGGTGGTAAAGTGTATATGTTAGCCCTCAGGCAAGGGGAACGTGGGAGCTCCGAAGTGAGGTGAGAGCCGGTATCCTCCGCCTCCGAGCCTAGCCGTAGATTCAGTAAACAAGCATAGGATTAGTCAATATTTTTTATGTCTGGACCAAAGGGTAAAGAATATGTATGCTCCTATTTGGCACAATGTAATTTGAACTAATTCACTTTATCTATTCACTATAATTTCTTGACAAGGAGAATGATGTTTTCTTATATATTGAATAACACATTTAAACCTTCATTAGTATCATTTGTTATTTAATAGTTATTAAAATTACATATTTATTGCAATTGTCTATTAGTGACAGATAAGTAAATTGAACTTCATTGTTGTGAATAAAGTATTATTTTTTTTCTAAAATCTTAGTTCGTAGCTCTAATATTACTCCATGTGGGATCGATATCTAGGACTCCTATTAGAGCTCTATATTACTTGAGTGATACGTATACTTGCGTTGATAAGTGTGACTTTACCATTATTGAATATTTATTATGTCCCTATTTATCTTATATTTTTAAGCATATATAAAGTCGCAGTCAATGATTCAAATTTACATCTAAATTTGACTTACAAATTTACCAACATAAACAAAAAATAAAATTATCGATTAAATACAAATAACATAAAATCCACTCTAAAAGACATTAAAGCTTAAAATTGAACCAAAAAATGCAACTAGGTTTGAGAGGATATTTTGGAGGAGGTAACCAATGGTTGCTAACAAAGTATATTCCAGTCACTTGTGACTAATCAAATCGCAAACTTAATGATCCAGGATGACAGAACCATGGGATTCTGATCTGGTCATCTCAACTAAAAATAAATGATAAAAATGACAAAATTTAATTGGCTAATAAATCATAAACAACCTAAAATTTTTCAACCCCTAAAATCTAAATAAGACACTAAAACTTAATTTGAATTCTGATGAACAAAGATCACCTAACGCAACTTGAAACCCTATGCTCAGATCTACGAAGATCCCTTGGATGAGATAATCTATGGTTTCTGACAAGAATCTTTCGATCTTGGTTTAATTACCTTTTGGACTAAGTAAGTTTAAATATCCCGATGACCCCGGGACAACAGAGCCATAGACATCTTGACCTGGTTATCTAAAAAATTATTCAACCTATTAAATCAACAAATCAAAACATAATTTCATGTTAATTTTGTTTTGCAGGTTCGTTGAAGACATAAGGCAAGTCATGTTTTTAGATTTACTTTGCATGTTATTAGGATGTGCTAATTTTAATTTGCAAGGGAGACATTCTGAAGATGAAAAAAGTGAATCTCAAAACAACAAAACTAAAATAACACAACTAAACAACATTAAGAAAAAAAAATAACATCAACAAAACAAAATGACAAAACAAAACTTTTAGGGTAGTTTCAGATTCCTAGAAATATATTACCCTTAGAATTGAACATTGATGTTTCTTTCTTTGATCTTGACACTTAAAATTCTTTGAGAATAAATGGTTAACCTTAATCGGGAGTTTTCTTAAGCAGTTTTAACTGCTTAAGTTATAATTAATTATAGGAGTTTGCTTGAGAAACTCAGAAGAGGTATCATACCTGAGAATTTTAGGAATCTGACAATTTTGAATTCTCTACCACAATGAAATCCTTACAACATTTTCTTTTGTTTTATATTGTTATTTGCCCTTTTCCTTCTTCCCCATGTTTCTTAAATATCTCAATATCATTTGTATGATCTAAGAGAATAAGTTATTTGGAGAATAGGGCAATAAAATAGTTTAACAGAGTATCGACTTCTTCCTGACAGCGATATCAACAAACCAATGACATGACAATGAATCACAAAGAATTGGTGGTGGAGATGATAAGCGTGTTTCAATCAGTTTATAGGTCAGCTGAAAGAGACTAATCCACCTGAAAATTTAGACCCTACAAATTTATACAGGATGAAAAGGTTGGTCTCTAAGTTAGGAATTAAAGCAGAGAAGATTGATTATTGTGTAAATGATTGTATGTTATATTAAAAGAGCTGCGTGATAAAGACTCAATGAAGATTTTATAACTCTCCTAGATTTAAATCTCATAGCAAAAAATTAAGAGACAGAAGGAAGTTCCATTCAAGCAACTCTTTTATATACCATTTATTCTATGTCTTCAAAAGCTATACAATTCAATGCGTACTGCTTCACATATGGTGTGAAATCAGAGCATATCAAGAGAGAACAACTCAATGGATGATCCAAGAGAGTGGATGCATAGAAATATTTTGATTGCTCATATCCTGAGTTAGTTGTGAAGGCATGTAACATGCGGCTAAGTTTATGCTCAGATGGCTTCACACAGTATAGTCAAACCTCGCCCTACTCTTATTTTCTTGTGGTTGTTAGTCATACAATCTGCCACTTGAGATGTGTATGACAACCCCTTTCTTCTTCCTGAACCTGATTATAATCAGTCTCAGTAACCCTAAAAGGAAGATTGATGTATATTTACAGTCTTTGATAGATGAGCTTCAAGTTCTTGGGAAACATGTGTCATGACGTATGACTTCTCTATGAAACATAATTTCTTGATAAAAGTAGCACTAATGAGTATAATAAGTAATTTTTATGCATATGGAATGTTATGCTCCAACCTGGCAAGAAGAATTCATTGTTTAATGGTCACAGTATGTTTTTCAGGTGTTGAACATCCCTTCAAGAGAAATAAGAATGTATTTAAAAGGAACAAAATTGAGAAATTATCTCCAACTCCAAGAAAATCTAGGGAAGATATACTGCAGATTATTAGTGACATTCCAAAGTTTATTGTAAGCCCTGACCTTGCTTCACATCATCCACCCAAATTTGGTGTCACAATAATTGGGCAAAGAAGTCAATTTCTTGGGATTTATATTATTGGATGGATAACATGATCAGACACAATCAAGATGTTATGCACATAGAGAAAAATTTTTGTGATAATATTTTCAACATTGTTATGAATGTTAGTGGAAAGGCAAAGGATAATGTGAAGGCTAAACTTTATTTGAAGGAGATATGCAAAAGGCGGGCTCATAAGCCAAAAGCAAAATATTCTTTGACTTTATCCCAGTGAAGAACAATTTGTGAGTGGATCCAATCAATAAAATTCTTGAGTGAATATGCTTTGAATTTTATCAGTTGTGTTGATTTGGGTGCTGACAAAATATTTGGCATGAAAAGTTACGACTGTCATATTTTTTACAATATTTGATGTCAATCACATTTAGTTCTTTATTGAGTGAAGTATTTTATTCATTGATTAAAATGAAAGTGTTATTTAAGAAACTTTATGCAGCTCATTACTTAACGATGTAATTCAGTTGGTAGCAAACATTCCTGTAACACTTTGCAAGCTTAAGAGAATATTTATGCCTAATT